TGAGGACTAATCCTAAATGTTTTTCAGATGTTGGCATAGTGGGCGGAGATCCTAAGTTAAACGCGTTGGGAAAGTAAAGACGGAACCAAAGTTCTAAAAACCAAAAAGGACCCGACGCGGCAGTGTCTAATTTCCTATTATCGTTATCTGTTAAACGAAGGCTAACCCGGGTGAGTCCTTCAAACAGATTGGCTAAAAATAGGGTACCAAGGGAGAAGAACCGACCTGACGCAATATGAATGGCCAGGTCGAGGTGAGAAGGAAGAACACTTTTGGAAGGAGAAACAATGATGTACCTACAAAGCCAGAACAGAATAAAGGCAGTATGCTCCCGGTCGGTTACAGGAGTCCCTGGAGCCCCTTGCTGGTCGGTTGCGAACTTTGTCCAACCCCATTCCTTCACACCTTGTAAAGACCATCCCGGATGGTCTTCTGATGGCTCCTGCCCATCTAGGGCTCCCATTACAGGGTCTTCACCCACGACTGGGAGATGTGCGATCATGGCCACGTCCATAAGGGTTGGGCCAAAGGGGGCCGAGGGCAAAAGGAAAGTCCCATTTTCCGCATTCCAGAAGGCGGACATGGCCAACAACACCTTCTCATGCAGGTTGATAGGCATGGTAGACAGTAGTATTGCTTGGTCGATCTTTTGGGATCGCCATTGGGTCTGGAAGTGTTCTGCTACTCGTCGATACCAAGCACGATACAGATCTTTTGGGTCTGTGAGATGGGTCTTGATGCTGTCTCGGATGCGAACTGCTTGGTAGTTGGGATTGTTGATAGCCAAGGCGTTGCGAGATTCCAAAACTTCCCTCATCCGATTTGAATCTTCGGGAGTAGTGCAATATGGACGGATCGTCGGAGTTAGTACTTTCGAGGCTGAAAATGGACCTTCTGGAAGGGTTCCGTCGAAAGGAAGGGCAGGAATGTATTGATTCGCCATAGTTAGAATGTTTTGGGATTGTGATTCACACAGGCTTGTATTGCGAAGAAGGAATAAACCAGGAGTGTTGCAGTAACTGGTGTAGTTGCTAAGGGAGTTTCTCGAGAAGGTAGTGCTTTATGAACTTCCAAACATTTATTGGCGTTTGAAAGTCCCTTGGCGGCGGGCAAGTTGTTACGTACGAAATTTAGAATTAGGTTAAAAGCCCAAGGTAAAACGAGGAATGGGCCTGGCTATAGGGTTGATTGAGCTGGCTGAAGGACACCGTGAGGAAATCAAGGAAAATAAATTTATTTATTTATTTCTAAGAAAAATTCAAGTCGGAAGGTCTTCAGGTCGGGAGGCCCTCAAGATGAAAGACCTCAAGTCGGACGGTCTTCAGGTCGGGAGATCCGCAAGACTGAAAGACCTCAAGTCGGACGGTCTTCAGGTCGGGAGGTCCGCAAGACGGAAAGACCTCAAGTCGGAAGGTCTTCAGGTCGAGAGGTCCGCAAGACGGAAAGACCTCAAGTCGGAAGGTCTTCAGGTCGGGAGGTCCTCAAGATGAAAGACCTCAAGTCGGACGGTCTTCAGGTCGGGAGATCCGCAAGACGGAAAGACCTCAAGTCGGAAGGTCTTCCGGTCGGGAGGTCCGCAAGACGGAAAGACCTCAAGTCGGAAGGTTTTCAGGTCGGGAGGTCCGCAAGACGGGAAGACGATGAGTCGGAAGGTTTTCAAGTCGGGAGGTCCTCGAGACGGAAAGTCGTTGAGATGGGATATCCGCAGGTCGGGTAAACTGTAGGTCGGATAGAAGGAGGAGTCGGACAAACACGGAGGCCTTTGATCAAAGACAGGGGGCGGTTGATATGGAGGTCGGCCCAAGTGGGGTCGGGCGAAGAAGTAGGTCGGACGAAGGACGAAGTCGGGCCAAAAGAGCGGAAGGTCTGTGGTCGGCTCAAGGAGTGAAATATAGGGAATTTTGGTCTGCTGGGGACACGTGTCAGCATAAGAAAGGTTGGAAGACGGTTGAGAAGGAGACGTTGTAACCGTTCGGGTGACGGTTTTCAGTACGGTTTCCCAGGGAATATTTAAGGATTTGGATCATCATTTGGCAAGGCATCTTCAATCAACTTCAACAAAGCAAAGTCAGATTTGGGGATCACCACTTTAAATTTCAGTCTTTTAATTTCCAGTGTAGTTTCTGTACGTTACAGTGTTTAGAGATTCCTAATCTCAGGCACTAATTAATCAAGTTTAAGGATATTTTCTATATCTTTGAATTTTACTTTATTTTTGTTGAAAAAATACATCAACACATTTACTTTATTGGACATCAATAATAATATCCTTTTAATTTATACTATATTATACAAATTCGTTACAATTTATTATAATATTAATTTAAGAGAAATATAATTAATAAATAATTAAAAATATAATAATAAAAATAACTAATATAATTAATTAATTTAATTTTAAAAATTATAAATTAAAAAATTTAAAATAAAATTAAAATATATTAATTTTTTTTTAAATATAAAAATATAAGTAAGGAAGAGTATGTTTGTTTGAAGAATTTGAAACGATTTTAATTATTTATTTAATTTTTTTTTAAAAATATTAAATTAAATATTTTTTATATTATACTATAAAATTTAATTTTATATTAAAAATATTAAATATACAATTATTTGAATTTAAATATTTTATTATTTAAATTTTAATTCAAAGTTTAAATCTCGAACGTAAAAATATGACATGGTAAGTCTGAAGAAAGAAATAATAAATATTTGTATAATATTATTAAACTTTTTTAATAAATCTATACATATCACAATTTTCACCGTACAGAGTTTCTATTTTGAAAACGAAAAGTCTGCCGCGAGCAACGATGAATTGAAGGGGGCGGGGACGAGGACGAGACGAGGGGTGTTATGTGGCCACTGAAAAGCCGGTGTCGGACCGCCTGTGCTGCGGCTGCGAAGTCGACGCTCGCCTTGTCGGAGAAGAAATGGGACGCCGTTGTCATTGGTGGTGGCCACAACGGCCTCACAGCCGCTGCGTACCTTGCACGCTCCGGCTTATCAGTAGCTGTTCTTGAGCGCCGCCATGTCATTGGTGGCGCCGCCGTCACCGAGGAAATCATCCCTGGTTTCAAGTTCTCCCGTTGCAGCTATCTCCAAAGCCTCCTTCGTCCGGCAGTTGTGAAGTATATATCTCGTTTCGTTCACTTAAATGCGGATCCTATTTATTCACTTTGAATCTGTGGTTTGTGATATTAAAATAGGGAACTGGAGTTAGCGAAGCATGGACTGAAGTTGTTGAAGAGGAATCCATCGTCTTTCACTCCATGTCTCGACGGACGTTATCTTCTGCTTGGTCCTGATAAGGAGTTGACCAAATCTGAGATTTGTAAGTTTTCCAAAGGTGATGCCGAGGCTTACCCGAGGTACATTTATCATCTCTGTCTCATTGTTGTAGTAGATTAGTTGATCTTGAAATTACCAACTGAAACCATAAGTTCCATGAATGTCGCAAGAATATTGAAGAAATGACTGCAATGCTGTAAAAACTGAATGACTGGTTAATTTCCTTAGATTCGGTAGTTTCTTGTGTGATTCTTTAGGGATGCATTGGTTTCGATGATATTATTGTGGCTTCTGTGCTTCTATCTAGGTATGAGAATCTTTTAGAGAACTTCTGTAAATTCATGGAACCACTTCTGGATTCAGTTCCTCCTGAAAAGTTGCAAAAAGCTTCATCTTTAAATCATCGAATGAAGGATAATATGTACAAGTCCATGTTTTGGGCTCAGTTGCTGCAAAGAGCGGCTTCCATGGGGCACAAAGAACTTCTGTAAGCTTTAACTTGAAGCCCCTGCACATCTTTTCAATTTTGTACAAGTAGAAGCTGATTCCTGTTTTAAAGATTAGTACGTGTTCACATTGCATTGTGGTTACTTCAAGAAGTGGAACTTTTCAGGGATTTTATGGATCTTCTGTTGTCCCCTGCTTCAAAGGTTTTGAACAATTGGTTTGAGGTAGTCCACCAATTTTCTCTCCGTGTATGATGTGATTGGTATGGTTGTCTGTTAAATGCATAAACTCTTTGCTACTTTCTGAGATTGTTATTGTGAATGCTTTTTCTCTTATCAATGAGATAAGTAAAGCCTGAAGTTTGCTACACATACCAGTTTTCCACCATTATGACATTCTTAGTTTTATTGTCAAGTACTACTCTCACATGTGTGTGTATATAAATATATAATATGTACTCCCTCCGTCCCAAATACCGTGCAACATTTCTTTTTTGGTATGTCCCAAACACCCTGCAACATTTCTAAATTAGGAAATAATTAAGTATACTTAATCTATATGCCCACACTTTATCCCATCACATTACCCCTAATAAAAAATAAAATATACACTTCTCTCTCCATCACATCACCTAATTACTTAATTATCCTACTTAATACTTCTCACCTAAAATCCCTTGCCCAACTTAAATGTAGCACCTTGTTTGGGACTGAGGGAGTATATGTGTATATATATATACATATATTGCCCTTGTTATTGAATTGTTATAGTCATCATCTTAGCACTTGCTAATGTTACCTTGTCAGTTGGTGTTCACGTTGGGTTTATGGTAGTTGATCACAAATTCACAATATAGTTGGATCATTGTTATGCTATTGCATCCATTTGCTAGCTTGCTGCATAGCCTACTAGTTAGAGCTATTTTCAAGTACTTATTTTTAATTTATGATTACATCCAATAGTCATATGATGATTGCCAAAGTATTTCACTTGGCTTTATCCTTCGAATTATTAGTAAATTTCTTTACTTGTTTATGTTGTTTTCAGTCTTTTTTACTAAATTGCAATTAACAGGACCTACCTTACAAATAGGCTCACACTCTTAAGTGTTATAATCAATTGTGCTATTCTGCTTTGGGTAGTAATATTAGGAGTTTTTAACTTTTATAATATTACAATACCTTATTTTTATTATTATTATTTTCATTTTTTCTCTTTATACTTGCTCCTTTATTTTCTGAACTTGAATGATTTATTTGCAGTCTGATGTCCTGAAGGCAACACTTGGAACGGATGCAATTATAGGATCCACGGTTGAATTTTCCTTACTGTAGCTTGTGATGTACATTAAGAGTTAAAACATTGCTGCCTTTTATGATTATTTTTTAGTCTGACAAAGGTTTTCTTTAGTTCTCTCCCTAGAATTTTAACTTATAATGGTCATATTGTAAAATGTTTTCTCAGTAGAAAGAGGATTTAAATGAAACAATGGTAACAATTAGGAATGCTCTGCTGATGGAAAGTGGTATAACAGCTCAGAATGAAATTCTGTAGCAATACTAACAAAGTTATTTGAGAATTGGTGTATGTACTATTTAGATATAAAAAACTAAATTTAAATATTCATGACTTGTGCATTATTCTCATATGGGTTTTTTTTTTTCTTAGGGTAGTGTAAAGACACCTGGTAGTGGATATGTCTTGCTACATCATGTGATGGGGGAAACAGATGGGGACCGTGGAATTTGGTCGTGAGTATCTTTTCTAAGTTGAGGACACTCACTTGAAAGTTCTAGAAACTAATCTGCATATTGAAATTACCTTAGTTCCTTCAAATGTGAATACATCCTGATTTAAGTTTCTCTCTCAGCAGGAAAAGTGTTAAACCACATGTAACTTTATGATTCGTATAATTCAAAGTGCAGAATCTTTTACATGAAAGTTTTTTAAAAGGCAGAAAATTGCCCATCTGCATGTGTCAAATGGCAAAGTGTTTTCAATTAGATCTTTGCTAAAGACGAATATGTGTGGACCTGACTGAGAGTGAGAAGTGCAAATGAAACCATCTTTATTGTCATCATTACATTTTATTTTTTTTTCATTTATATTCAGTTATGTTGAAGGTGGCATGGGGTCCGTGTCTTTGGCCATTTCTAATGCTGCTAGGGAAGCTGGTGCTACAATAATGACCAATGTTGAAGTAAGTTATAGGAGACTAATAATGTTACCTGTACACTTCCACATTATGTAGCAACTCAGAATTAGATTTCATATTTTTGGTTTTCAGCATGGGTATGCTGTCGAGTTTATGCATCAAAGATTGAATCTTCTTCCTCTCTATATACTATTACTAATATAGAGACATACATAATGATAAATGGATGAACAAAAATTTCATGTATTGCACTAATCCAGCACTAGTTACCACTAATTAATACTAATAATATCTAATGTTAATACATAACTATAATATCAGCTATATAACCTTTGCAATTGTGGTAGAGTAAATCCATAACTTTCTGGTTTTGATTATTGTCCTTGATTGTAGTTATTAGTAGACCGCTATTTTTGGCCTTGATAGTTTACTTCTTCACTGCATCTTTTGACGAAGTCCCACTGATGATATCGGGAGATTCATATAAGTTGATATATTTGCAAAGTAAACATCGTTATCCGGCCATTCTTTTATCTAGCTTTTACATCTCATGGAGTGATTATATTCTTCTCTCATTTATCATGTTCTTCACTGTTCTAGGATCATAATGTGTAATTTCTTCTGCTATAATTTATTCATGTTAGTAGTGAAGTTTTATGATTTTTCTCTGTAGGTATCAAAATTGATTATTGATGATTCAGGCAGAGTGTCTGGGGTAGGTGTGCTGCCAAATCTTTCTAGATTACCATTACAAGCCTCTATACTATCATCTATTTATAAAAGATTTATTAGTTGAATTGTTTAGGTTTTATTGGCTAACGATATGCAAGTGCATTCTTCTGTTGTTTTGTCAAATGCAACCCCATACAAAACATTCACAGTAAGTTCGATTCTGTTCCTTTATGATACACCCTGACATCAGATACAATTCAATTGTATGTATGATATGTAACCGCAGATGCTTACATGGATAGCCTTGCTTATGCAGGAATTCCTGCCACAAGACGTTGTCCCTGATGATTTTCTCCAAGCTATCAAGAACACTGATTATAGCTCTGTGAGGATGCTACTATGTGGATCAATAATTCTTCACTGAAACGTTGCATATGTGGCTTTTTTAAGAAAACCTGCAGTCTGCCATTTTGCAATTTTTTTATTCTAATTTTCTTTTGATGTGTATCAGTTTGAGGATCTTTGTCCGTATGTGTTTTTGTCGTATTGTCTTTTCAAAGTTTCTAGTTATTTGACAACTCTATTTTTACTGCTTGGTCAGGCAACTACAAAAATCAACTTGGCTGTTGACAAATTGCCACAGTTTCATTGCTGCAAATTGAACGGTGGTGATGCTGGTCCTCAGCATATGGGTACCATTCACATTGGTTCAGAGAGGTACTTCATAAATTATATAGTTTATGTCGTTTAGTGAGTATATATGGAAGGAGAAATGGGTAGACACAAATTTAATATCTAGCACTAATAAAAACTATGTAATGCTAATAATATCTAACACAAATATACAACTACAATTTCAGCCTAACCTTTGCAAAAGAAAAACCCCCATCACTTGCTGCTCTTAATTTTTGCCCTTGATTCTAGCAATCAGTAGACCATAACTATTGTCCCACAATTATTGCCCTTGATGAATACATGCCACAGATGCTTTGTTAATATGCTTTATTCTTATCATGATTCATATTATATCATTTGATGTACAGCATACATTGTTCCAAGCTACAGTACCTGTAATATTCTATATTGGATCTTGTCGGAAGAAAGGGTTTGAGAACAATTTCAGTAACTTTGACATTTTTAGATGGTGAAAAATATTTGATGACTTGTGTATAGGTCTTGAAGTCTTGAAGTAATAAAAAACAGGTTATGTGAGATAGCAAATTAGTAATACAGTAAGGTGGGGCCAAAATCTCAAATCTCAAGCACTTTAGCCATGCTTGGATTTCTGTTTTTGGTTTATAGGGCCAATATGCTCCACAGTCTGAGAATTGTTAATTGAGACACTTTCTATGAGTAAGCTTTTTCTTGTATAGTTGAGAGATGTGAATATTTCCCAGCTCAGATTATTTTCTAAGCTACACACTTCTTGCCTTTGTTACTCATGTCTCCTTACAAAGTTTAGAAAGAAGAGAATTTCCTAAACCTATTGTATTCTATTTTATCTTCTGAGGAATGTCAAGTGACATTACATTGTCTTTTCTGTATTCAGTTTGGAGGAGATTGATTCTGCCTGTCAGGATTCTGTAAATGGTATACCATCTAGAAGACCTGTAATCGAAATGACAATTCCTTCTGCATTGGACAAGACTATTTCTCCGCCGGGTATTTGCCAAATTCTTGGTGATTTATTCACGTGCTCTGTGCTGAGGATATTAGTGTTCTGTTCCTCGGAATTTTGCTTCATGTCTACTGTTCTAGAAAATTTATGAAAGTAGGATTACTATAATGCATCAAATGTGATCAGACAAAAATACAGAAAAAAGACAACTAAGAAGAACATGACGAGTAGTTGTAGTTGTCTAGGTTGTTCATTTGTTATTTTGGAAATTATTTATAATCTTACACTGCTGGGTGTAGTAACATTTTAGTGATTCTATGCAGGGAAGCATGTCATTAACCTCTTTGTTCAGTACACACCTTACAAACCTGCTGACGGCAGCTGGGAGGATCCTGAATACAGAGTAAGAATGTTTGTAATTCGTACCCGCGACCCTGCGATTCTGAATTCTTTCTTGTTGACAATGCATCTTCCAAGTCCATTTTCTTGTTAAAATGCATCTTGTAACACTGACCCCATGGCATAGGAATCCTTTGCTCAAAGATGCTTCAACTTAATTGAGGAATATGCCCCTGGCTTTAGCTCATCAGTCATCGGCTATGATATGTTAACTCCACCAGATCTTGAAAGAGAGATTGGTTTGACAGGTAAAGTTAATGTAGTTTACTTAAGAAATTATGCTAAATGCTTTTTTACTTCGATACTTCTTTTGACTGCTGCTTCAAATGCAAAGCTTACTAGTATATTTACCTTCAGATATGATAAATAATTCAGCATAAGCTGAAATTAATCCACACCCTTACTTTGAATCTAGTTATTTTAATTAAATAAATAATCTAATTAACTAATGGTGTGGATCAAATTCAGCATCTAATCCACTCCGATATTTGTTTGTCAGTATCTATTACTAACTGCCAATAAGCTTCAATTATTGTCTATGACCCTGCATATAGAAGAAGTTTTTAATCTTTACATTTCAAGGTGATGTTTGAGTCCATCTGAATACGGAAGCTAATCAACATATGCCAAGTGAATTTCCATACCCTGGATTTTGTCTGATGCTGATTATCCCGAGTTCCTAACACTAACAGGAGGAAACATCTTTCATGGAGCCATGGGATTGGATTCCTTGTTTCTGATGCGGCCAGTGAAAGGATGGTAAAACTGATGCTAGCCTTCTTTTCGGCCTTAATTGTATCTCGCTGTCTGAAAACAAATAATTATCCATGCTGTTCTTGGCTTAATAGGTCAAGCTATCGGACACCATTACAGGGTCTTTATCTATGTGGGAGCGGAACACATCCCGGGGGCGGTGTAATGGGTGCTCCCGGGCGCAATGCTGCACACGTGGTGATTGAAGATATTAAGAAACATTGATGTAATAATCATGTATACTTTTGATCACCAAACAATGACTAAGGTAAGTATCTCATGGGCTCGTACTTTGTCTACCATGGAAACATTCGAGAAAAGTTCTTACTTCCTTCCTATGCAATCGCCTGAACTATTCATCGTGTTGGTTTTTCCTAGTAGAGAAGATACAATGTGATATACTGTGACAGTCGAATGAATTCATATCTGATCAGAGTTTATTAAGCATAGAATCAATAACATCCTTTCTGTCAATACAAAACCACTTCCAAAGTTGATAATCAAACTAGAGCATTGCACAGAAGAATGCTATAATGTGCACGCGATAAAAGACCTGGAATCTGATAGAAGCAGGTTCGTGTATATGTATAATGTATATGTATGTATGTATGTATCAATGGAATGACGACTGAATTTCTTCGAGTGTTCTTCCTTTGGTTTCAGGAACCCACAGGACCACAAACGCTAAAGTAAAAGCTGATATTAGCGCATATATCGCAAAAGCTCCTGTACAAGTAACAATGTGATGGATAAGTATTCTCAGCAGCCAAAAAGACAAAGCTTTTAGAGAGATAGATAAAGAACCTCCAGTGCTCCATGTAAAGAGTAAGTTCGCCGTCATTGTAACAATGGATGCTGATAACCAATTCGCCAGCGTTGCAACGCTCCCCGCAAGGCTCTTAATGCTCACGGGAAGAATCTGGAACAACAACAATATTTGTTTCATGCACAGGGAAAAGGTACGACATCGTATATATCATAGAACGTTACATAGCCATATTTATCATACCTCGGACATTATAACCCATGGCACGGCCCCAAGTCCTATCGAAAAGCCAGCTACCAACACCTGCAGGGAAATACGAAGTCCTTAGTAAAGTGAGAACTCTGGCAGGGATTGGATGGACACATGTATAGATTCTCGATTGGAGATCTTACCAGAAGTCCGACCAGCGCAAATACCTCCATGATGGGATGATCGTCTCCCGGCAACGTATCCTGCTTTTTGGAGTTAGTACAAGAACAACCATGGAGTTTGGCAAGTTTAAAGTAAATTGCCACCTTAAAGTAGAATGCCAAAGCGACGAGGACGCAGCTCAGGGTCATCAGCGACGATGATACCTGCAGTAAGTAACAGATTATATAGATAGAGCCCATTCTATCCAGACAATGATGATGCAGATTGTAGCTGAAAGTATTACGACGTACTATTAGGAGAATTCTGCGACCTGCCCGATCGATCAGAGTTGCAGAGATCCCGGTAAACACAACCTTTACAGACAACAAGTTTTTTCAGTAGCTTGAGGGTTATAGCTAACATCTGTAGTTGTCGATTCTACCTGCAAAGCCCCGATCCCAAATGTTGCTGCTTTAGCCGATGAAATCCCTGTTTTTCATTTCCAGGTAATGTCTTCTTACCAAAAGTGCGCGAAGAAAAGAGTGTAGAGATGCTCGTATAGATCGAAGCCTCACCTGCAGATTGAAATATGCTACTCGAGTAGAAGAGAACGCCGTTGATACCGGTTAGTTGCTGGAGCATTAGAAGCCCGATTCCTACCTGTAGCGTATATGGAAACGATGAGGAAACTGGGAATACGATGAGCAGATTCATCGAAGAAATGGTTTTAGAGTATCGATCTTACCATCAAAGGATACCAATATCGCTTTCTCCTGAGCTCCGAAATCCTGATGACAGTCCTTCGGTTTGAGGATGCGACGGATCTCTGAGAACAAGACAATGCAGAGTAGACATCAAACGCATGGCGGCGCTATAGATGGATTTGAAACTCTCCCAAATATACCTTAATCTCATTGACTTCGGATGAAATGTCTGTGTCGAACCCTCTGAGAACTTGCAGGGAAGTTTCGAAGCCTTCATTCAGTCCCATTTTTGCCTGTATTGTTGACATTACTCAATGTAAAGATTCGAGTTTTATTAACAAAGAACTCGAGCTGTGTGTGGCGTAGTGTCATACCAGCCAACGAGGAGATTCGGGTATGAAAAACAAGCCAGGTATCAACAATGTGCACGGCAAGATTCCTGCATACATTCGAAATGATCAGGTATTCGGATGGATCAATCGATTCCCTGTCACGTCGTCATCGATCCATTCGATTTGTGTACCTAGAACGGCAAGAACTCGCCAAGGTAGGAAAAGCCCGAGCAGATACGCTAGCATGATTCCAATTGTCACGGACAGCTGAACGAGGGGTAGCAGCATTAGCAATTTAAGTCTAGAATTGCGATGGATCAGATCTGAAAAAATTACGTCGAACCTGATTCACGGATCCGAGGCTTCCTCGTAGGTTCTGAGGGGCTATCTCGGCAATGTACACCGGCACCTATTGCAAAACACAAATAACAAGCATTAACTTACGGTGCTTGCTGGCTCGCACGATCGATCAATATGATCTGTCCTGGTTACCTACCGTGTATGAAATTATGCCGACGCCAAAGCCTTCGAGTAACCTTCCCATGAACAAGAAGGACGAGTCCTGTGTGTAGAACACACAACTTATCAATACATACGTATATATGTTGTCCTAAGGTAGACAGAAATTCGAAAGTGAATTACTTTGGCGAAGGAAATGGCGAGCCAGCCGATGATGTTGGGTATTGCAGCAATCATGAGTGACTGCACCACTTGATTCATCAATACATATATTCATATATGTTTGTATGTATATGTATATATGTGTGTATGTATAGTGTACCCCTTTTCGGCCAATGTATTCAGCAATCTGGCCACTGGCAATGGCTCCCACCATAGCTCCAACATTTGCTAAAGACCCAAATATCGAAAACTTTCCAATTCCAAATTTAGAAGAAGAAGAAGAAGAAGACAGTTAATGACAGCCAAATTAAAATGTGTTACTTATGAGATATATCTCTTGTAAAATGGGTTTGGGAGATTGCGTACCTCGGAGATGGTGAGATCAAGATCACGTATGATTTCTGATTGGGTAGGGTTAGAGTATCCACACTGCAATTCACATTGATCGATTAATGAACAAGCTAATTAAGAAACACTAGAATGAGATGAAATATGTTATATATACTGTGAATCCAAACTGGATGGGGCCAAGGGCGACGACGGAGACGCAGAAGAAGACGGAGATGGACTCGCGCATGAGATTCATGGAGGATCCCATGATGCTCGACTGTCGGGACCCCATTCCCGACATTCTGTACCAGCTTCCCGTGTGCAGCAATGGCTTCCGCAGCCCATCCTCTGCAACCTCCGAACTCATTCCTCAAACTCACTCACTCACTGCCTCTCTCCCTACCTACCTACCTACCTGCTAATTGCTAATTACACACACCTTCCTTCTTGATCGATCTAATGTATTGACGATTCCCTCCGATCGGATCAAATTAACTAACTGATCAACTAATAAAGCGGGCACAGATGATTAATTAAGTTAGTTCTTAATTAAGAAAGAAAGAAAGAAATGAGAAAGAAAAAGACACAAGAAATTAAAGTGTATAATGGATGTGGATGAAGAATGTGTTGGGAGGGAAATAGGAGACGAAGACGACGACACGAGTCCAGGAGAACCATGCACGCCCCCTCACATGCGACGCCATGCCATCCGCCATCTGTATGGTTCCTATTTTTCACAAATTAAATCAACCATATTTGATCTACTTTATTTATTTATTTTTTTCATGACTGGAACCCACAACCGCTGTCCGAAAATACACACTTGATAAATCCAACATAATATCCTGTGAACTAGGCATATCAACAAATCACGTTAAGTTAACCATATAACTTGAGACGTGGGAAATTTAAATATATCAACCATCGAGTGTGGATTAATTATATATATTTGTTTACATTATAGCTTAATTTGTTAAAAATAAAATATTTTTAATTCATAAAATATCACGGATCAAATTAATTAATTAATTAACAAGTACAGACTCGCGCTGCAATTGGGGTTAACCGATAATAATGATGAAATTGTTGGGCATGAAATGTAAATATTGAAGGGTAGTTTCGGAAGTACATTGTGCGCCTTACAAGTGCAAGTTTACCGTAGTATCCCTCTAACAGTCCCTTCTTCCCCTATTACCCTCTCAATCCCCAATCGCCGTCGCCGTCGCCGCCGCCGCCGCTGCTTTTGTCGCCGGTAATTTTAGCCACGGGGCACATGGGCGAACAGACCCGCGCCCCAATTGCAACCATACCCAAATCCGAATCCCAAATCGAAACACCCAAATCGCAACAACAATCGGAGCTCCAATCCCTTTCACGCGAATCCGACTCCATCACCCAGATTTCGTATCCTCCGCCGACGGAGACGGTGGCGCTCGAGGATTCCCCTGCCATAGCCGCCGAGATCTCCCACCACAATCCTTGCAAAATTCCGGTGAGGCCTCCGAAAATCCGCAAGCTCTCCACGCCGTCCGCGGCGGCGAATCCGGCCACCGGCCACAACCCGTCCGTCTCTTCTTCCTCTTCCATAGCCCTGACGACATCTTCCTCCGCCATAACTCCCGCCGCCACAAATTCCGGCAAACACCGCCGGCGTAGCGGCGCCTCCCAAGGTTCTCGACCTCTCCCCCAAATTATCAAACCCTTATCGGCGGACGGAGAGGTCGAATTAGCGATCCGCCATCTCCGCGCCGCCGATCCACTGCTCTGTCCGCTAATCGATTCTCATCCTCCTCCCCAATTCGACGCTCACCATCTCCCATTCCTAGCCCTAACCAGGAGCATCCTCTACCAGCAGCTCGCCTTCAAAGCCGGAACTTCCATCTACACGCGGTTCGTCTCCCTCTGCGGCGGCGAGGCTTCCATAACCCCCGATTCCATCCTCACGCTTTCCTCCCAGCAGCTCAAGCAGATTGGGGTTTCAGCCCGCAAGGCCAGCTATCTGTACGATCTCGCAAACAAATACAAATCCGGCATTTTATCCGACGATGCTGTAGTGAAGATGGACGACAGGTCGTTATTCACAATGCTGTCAATGGTGAAGGGAATAGGCTCGTGGTCGGTGCACATGTTCATGATCTTCTCCCTGCACAGACCAGATGTATTGCCAGTTAGCGATTTGGGGGTTAGGAAAGGCGTGCAATTGTTGTACTGTTTGGAGGAGCTGCCGAGGCCGTCGCAAATGGAGCATTTGTGTGAGAAATGGAGGCCTTACAGGTCAGTAGGGGCCTGGTACATGTGGCGGTTTGTCGAAGGTAAGGGCGGCTCCACCGCCTCCGGAATGACTCTCGAAGGCAATGCTATGCAGCAGCAGAAAGAGCCGCAGCAAGACGAACATCAGCATCAGCATCAGCTGCAATTTTTGGAACCTGTTAATGGAATCAGCAACATGGGGTAGTTCCTTTTCCTTCTCTTTCGATGAAATATGTGGATTTATGCATTGTTTGATTGCTTGGTTGCTTTATTGTGACGATTGGGGTTTATAGAGAGCTCTCTTGAGTTGAAGGAGTTTAGTTTCACTGAATGTGTAGTTGAAATTCAAGATTTGGAAGTGCCTAATGAGTTTTGGAACAAATTGTTGGTATAGATTTTGTAATTTGCTGTGGTAGCTATTTTATGCATTGTTAGGTAGCCTCCGGAAACATGATATCGTTTTTATTGAGAATGAAGTTATTATGGATTATTTAGCATGTTTTCGGATGTCTGAAAAATGTTGCTTGACGAGAAGTTGATGTGCCACTTAGTTTATTTTGCAGTTTATAATGTGTTATAGAATGCATTTTGTTTAGCTCTGTCACTTTTGTCGATATATATATTATGTACTGATGGTATAACTAATAGTCTCTCTAAAATTGAAAGACTTACTAGCCTACAGGGCTTGTAATTTTTCGTTTGAACTTAAGAAGCTGTTCTGTTTGTTGCCCGATCCTTGAAGCATGTATGTGTATATCCATATATTTATACATATGTGTGTATATGATCAATCTTGTTGAAGGTTACTTAGCTGTGCTTATTTGATTAAGAACTACTAATACATATATAATCCCGGCTGACGGGGGAGAAGGGGAGAGTGGTTTCTGATTCCATTTTAACGGCGTAGATATGAGAAATAGAAACAAATTCTAGTCGGTATATTTCACCGGTGTCATATGGTCCTTGGACATTCGTGCTCTACGGAGCACCTTTTGCATTCAGCTTAATTTTTCGATATGTCGAGAGATTAGGTTTCTGAGCAATGCATTAGTTTCAAGCAGATCATTTCTCCCATTATGGTTTTGATTCATTTTTGTATTTTTGCAGAGCCTGCATTTGGAACCAGTGACGACGAATCGATCCGTTTCCGACTCCATCGCCGGATAAATCTCTGGACAGAATCGACATATTCATCTGGCAAATCTGAGCAGCATATCTAGACGAAGAAGAAGATATCATCTTGGTCGACAATAAATATATGAATATGTACATACGCATATATATTGCAAACTAGTTATGTGTGTTTTTGTGTGTATTTATTTATATATATATATGATGTGTATATCCTTAGGTATTTGTAGCTGTACGTATTTGCATTATGGCTACTGTTAAGGTGTACCATCTTTGATTAAATCATATTTGTCCGATTTAATAAAATCTTGATCTAATGAGTAAATAAGCCAATGATAAATTTGATATTTTATGTAGTTATTGTTCAGTATATTTTTGTTTTAATTATTTATGGGTAAGATTGTATCTGGGGTTATTATATAATTCCAAAATTTTCATTAATTATGATAATAGTATTATTACAAATATTTTTGTATGAGATATTTATATATGTACATGTTTTGTTGTGAAACTGACAATATATGAATAATATTATTAAATGTCATAGTCAGTATTTAGTTGTTGTAATATGGATAATTGGTTTATTGGACTAACTAATCCTCTACATGTGTAGAAGATTTTTTTTAATATATATATTGTAAATGGTGTAGATCATAATAAAATTAATAAATATTACTACAAAAAAATTGAGTTTCATACAATCTTATAATTAAGTGAAAATATGGTTTAAACTAAAAGATTTTTGTATTATTATAAATAGTACTCCCTCTGTTCCAGATACCATGTCCACGTTGTCGTTTCTGTCGGTTTTATATACCATACCATGTCACTTTTCTTTTTTTGAAAAATGATTACACACTTTAATTTCATTTTAAATTTTTAAATTTTATTTTTTTAAATTTTAATTAAACTAATTAGTTATCTTAATCTTAATTTATAATTATTTATATTATAGGATAACTATTTTTACTAATACATTCTTAATTATCTACTAATTACATCCCTCTTAAAATACCGTGTCTACGTTACAGCAGAACGGTATGTGGGACGAAGGGAGTAGTTGTTAGATATAAATATGTATTTTGTATTATTTATTTTAGTTTAACCCTGAATTCACTGATGTGTATATATATATATATTTGTACTCTTATTTTCTTAATAATACAATTTGATAATTTTTCTTCAAATTCTAACATAATATCAAAGCTCAGATATCTAGTTTGACTCTATTTGGAGCATATGCATATACAAGTTTAGTATACCTCTATGTCCATCCTCAATGCTCCTTCCGTCCCTTAAATAAATATTTATTTATTTTATACACGGTAGTTTAAGATATACCAGTATTATATAGATATTTAGTAAAAATAAAATGGAAATAATTGAAAGGTATTTACAATTTTAGATAAATATGATAGTTAAAAAAAAATAGATAATTTGTTATGTTATAAAATAAATTAAAATATAAAAATAGATAGTTTGGTAGGGAATGATGTATAATAAATATTTTTTTTAATCTTTCTATCCTAAATATTAATATTATTATTAAATGATAAGGAGGGAATTGGTTAGTGTCGTGAATTCCATGCAACTACCAGATGAAAACCTGCAGTGAAGGCATTAAATCCATATTCTGCACTCTGCAATGCCATTACTCTCTCTCTCTCTCCTCTCTCTCTCTCTCTCTATATATATATATAGAGAGAGAGAGAGAGGGTCCAAGTCCAACAGCAAAGCTGAAATGAGCCACACTGACTGTGATCAATATTTATTTCTTCCTTTTAAGTTAAGGGGGGGCTGTACGGAACGTCGAGCTTCCTTCCTTCCATCTATAAATATAAATATAAATATGGATGAACCTAACAATACCATTGTACCATTAAGTTTTCTGACACCTCACTCACTCTCTCTCTCTCTCTCTCTACTTCACTCTCTACTCTTCAACTACTTCTAATTAAAGACGAGAGATAGAGCTTTGTATTTGTATATATACATGTTTTCTGAGTGTCAATGGCAATAAATAATATTGAAGTCATTTTTGGGAGCAGATAAACAAGTTTCATGGCTTCATTGGTTGTGATCAGACTTTGAACACACACAAATTAAAGAATCTTATTAAATTTAAGGTAATTTGTTATTAGTGATTTCATATTCTAACGGACAAATTAAACATGTTTTTGGTGTTCTAATTAACATTAGATGATGACGAGGATGATGAATTGATGATGATGGAGCTCATTAGTTAATTAAGAAAAAGAATCACAAGGCTACTCACCTAAGAATTGTCTTCTTCTTCCTCCTCAGAATTAATGACAGCAAAATCTAGCCTTGATGATGATGATGATGAGGTTGACGACAATGGCGGCCGGGGTCAAATTTGTCTTTTCATCGCCTGCTTGTTGTTGTGCATCCACACTTTGAAAACTTGCCTTTTCACTCCCACCTCGGCGCAGAACTGCTGCACTTCTTGCTCGTCTTGCTTCTGAATTCTCCACCCGATTTTCGTCGCGAATTCCTGCATTCGATCTTTCTGATCTTGGCTGAATTTCGTCCGGAATCGCTTCCGGGGAGACGCCGTCGCGCCGCCGTGCCGCCGCCCCGATTGGAAAATGTTGAGGTCCTCGCTCGAGGATTCAGCGCCGCCGCCGCCGCTGAAATTAACTACGGCGGGAGGCGCGGACCCGGCGCCGACGGAATGGGAGGAGTGCTTGTGGCGGGGCCGGGGGCGGTGGTGGTGGTGCGGCGGCATTGAGTATGTAATCTGGCCGTGAATTTGTGCTGCTGCGGCGGCGGCGCTGCTCGGGTTGGGGTTATTGTATGGATGGAACTGCTGCGGCTCCCCGTCGACTTCCTTCCGGTGGAAATTCCGGTGGCAGTCGCAGGCGGCGCAGCGGAGGGCCTCCGGCGTGCCGTCGTCTCCGCTGGGCATGAATTCCCCGCACCCATCGACCACGTGCCCGCCCATGCTTGCCGCATGGTTCTTCAGGCATTCCCGGTACTTGATCGGCTGCGGCGGCGAGCTCCTTGAATCCGATGCATCGGCGGTTGTGTGAGTGGATGACGGCGGTGGATCTGGATCTGGCGACGGTTCTCTCTGCACTATCTGTTGCTGCGGCGGCGGCGGCGGCGGCGGAAGATTGTGATACGGCTGATCTGAGGAGTGGGAAGGGCTGAAAATGGAGGTTCCACGGCGTGGGGAAATTAAAGGGTTTGTTCTGGTGGTGGAGAGGAGGGGTGCGAGGGGAAGCTTCATTGGAGATTCTTGGATGATTGGTGGAGTAGTGTACGCCATGGAATTGGGCAATCCCATTTCCCTAATTTCTTGCCCTCGTCGATCCATGGCTTCTGCAAAACCCTAATTGAGCATGAGAGAGAAGGAGAGAAGATGAAGTTTGGAGCTATTCTGCACTGCACAATATAATAAATTAATCGACTTTAGAATCTCGCAACGAAGTTCGGACAAGGAGCTTGGGGATGCCCATGGGACCCTAACCAATTTAACCACACCTTAAATAAATTTAAAAAATAAAATTAATCAAACACTACAACTTAATTAACTAAATTAATTTGTAATTTAATATAACCTCTGACAAATGAGAGAGTTTATCAGTGAATCCACACCATCTTCATCTCCATCAGCATCACCACCGCCATAGCCAGCAAATGGAAGCTCACCCAAAATATATATATGCAAAACGATGCCAGAAAACAGCCGCAGTTTTTCACCTTTTCTTGCAGGGCACTGATTCAGACAAAAAAAAAAACAAACGAGAGTTAATTAATTAAACTAATGAAGAAATTTCTTGCAAGACACAAACTTTGGACAGGTTTAATTCTGCCTGTGTCTCCCAACAGCCATCCAAAAAATACTTTAAAAACATATATATATAAAGAAAAGAAAATTGGGGATCACTGAGGGAAGTGGTAGAGAGAGAGAGAGAGAGAGAGAGAGAGGGAGGAGTGAGAGTGACATGGGGTGTAGTGTATGAGTAGTGTAAGAAAGTAGAGATGACACAGAAGAAGACTTACTCTACAAAACAACCGACAAAGTCATGTTGGTTCTCTTCCACACTGCACACCACATTTAGTCTATTCTTTCATTATTATTTATACACACTACACTACACTACACTACACTTACATTTCTTTTTCTTTTTTTTTTTGGTTACAGCTATTGTTATTTTCAAAGGAAAAAAATAAATATTAAAGCTGCTATTTGTAGCCCTCCATGTAAATTATAAAGATCACCAACCAGAAACCCTAAAATCAGAGTTGAGAGGAAAGAGGAATACTTAATGATCAATTAAACGACAAATGATATATATATGTATGTATGTATATGTGTGGGACATGATACTAATAGAATAAAATATAAAATGGATCCTCCTAAATAAAGTTGTTTTTGGGTAAAGTACAAAGTTTGAGTAGTAATGTTAATCAGGAATCCAGCTTAGATATATTTGGTGATATATCCAAAATATTTATCACATGAAAAAATACATAGAGTGAGAGAGAGAGAGAGAGCAGAGAGAAAAGAAAGTCTCAAAAGCCAAATTAAAGCACTAAATATTGCTGTTAGAGAGAGAGAGAGAGATAAGAGAGAGATGACTTTTGAAGATGGAAAAAAAAAAGTGAAAATGGAGATGAGATGGTCCACAGAAACAGGAGCACTATGGTCCTCTTCCTGTTAATGTGTGTCAGATATTCTGCTCTTTAATTTCCATCTTTTTTTTTGTATTTTTTTAGATAGCGAAGAAGAAGAAGATGATGATGATGTTGATCATGACCACCATCACCTCTCTCTCTCTCTATCTCTTCTCTCTCTCTAATATATATATATATGTATGTATGTATATATATCTGATAAAAGAGGGTGGGTGTTGCAGGTGAAGATGACTTGACTGATGAATAGTAAAAAAAAAAAAAAAAAAGGTGTACAAGTTGTTTAATCCTCTCTTTAATCTTAAGGGTTTGTTCATTCATTTTGACTTTTTATTTTTTAATTTTTTTGTTACACAATCTTATCTTTTCTTAATAAAAAATACTTCTTCCATCTCTAAATAAACGATGGGTTTGGTTAGTAAAAATATTTATTTATCAAATTAAGGAGTTAAATTTCAATTTAAAATCAATTAATATAGACTAGAGTAACCTTCTTGTTTATAAGTAATACTTTTCTATCATGTAAATAAGTGTTTATTTGATCGAATATAAATTTTAATAAAAATGAGTAATAATTATTAATTTTTTTTATAATAAAAAACAATACAAAAATAAAATAATTTTTTATTTAAAAAAGTAAAAATATTTTTCAATAATAATCCAAAAGAAAAATGAAAATAAATTTTAAGGAGTATAACAAAATTTTCATATTCTTTTGTATATGAAACAGTATTCAGAAAAGCATATAAAAATTCAAACTTTAAAGCTGACATCAATAAAAGCAAACCTAAAGTTTTGTTTAGATGTGAATTTTTTATAGTTTTTAAATTTTTTTAAAATAGTGCAAAATTAAATATTTGACTATTATATATTTTTTTTGAAAAAATTGAATTTATACAAATTTTTAGTATTTATATTATACATTAGCAAAGGATATTTTCTTTGTCCATTATAAATTTTTATTTTTAATTTGATAATTTTATTATCTATATTTAAATAAGAAACTTAAACTTTCAAAAATCAATTCTTACTTTCAGCTAGGATTTGAGAGAGTCCGTAGTGACTAAATTATCATCTTCTAAATTTGGACTAATTTAAATTTAATTTGTTGTATGTATGTATTAATATTTATCTATCTTCTTTAGACAAACGAAATTATGGCTACTCATTCGTATCTGCACCCCAAAAAGCAACTTACTTACTTGGATCCAATGTTCTTTATATAATTTCACATTCATATATATATATATATAGAGAGAGAGAGAGAGAAATATTTTAGTAATATACGTGACATTCTTATTTTTTATTGTTTCTTTAAATATATATATATATATATATATATAAAATACTTTTTTATTTAATTAATAGTGGTTGAAAACGTCTTTTGTAATTGAAATATTATCATGTGTATTGATACTACTATCGTCTGATTATTTAAAATACCGAGTATTCTTTTATAACGATCTTATTAGTGACTATTATTTTTTATTTTTGGAAAAATAATTATATATTAATACTAAAATATCTTTAGTTTTTATTTAAATACATTTTATCCCTTTTGATTTTTTATCTTTTTTTAAAAATATCAAATTAGATATATATTTTTTAATATTACTTTAAAAAGCAGTTTTTTTTTTTTAATTTAAAATATTATATCGTCTATTTATTAAACATAAAAAACGATTCAAATTTAAAACTTTACAAATAAAAATTTGAACTCAAACAAAAGCGCCCCAAAGAATTAAGAAATAAATAAAATTGTCATCCAACAAATTGAAGATGAAATTAAAAGTGAAGGTCTTATTTTTAGCTCATATATTAATGGAGAGGACAGACTAATTATTATAACAAATTAATAGCAGAATTATTATTTGCCGAATTATTTAAATGAGTTGTATATATTTCCACAAATTGATGGATCGTATTTGACGAGTCTAACGCGCATAGAGTATTAAGGATGTGTTTCCCACATTTAGTGTTCTAGTTTTAACTTTTTTTTTTTTTTTAATATGTAAAAATATAAATAATTGTATCGGTAATATAAAAAATAATATTATATTGAATATTGATTTTTTATTAAAAATAAATAAATTATACTTCCTTCGTCTCATAACTATGTATCCATTTAATTTTTCATAGAATTTTTAAAATATAACTATTACATTGAAATATAATAAAAATAAAGTAGAAACGACTCCAATGACTAAAACCATTGTATAACACATCCTATAATATGTTTGTATAATGTAAACTTCACATAGAATAAATTTTCAGGGTTGAACAAATTAATGGAGAAATTAAAAGACATGCAACATTAGACGACAAAAATAAATAAAAAAATAAATAAATTAGGGTTTGGTTTGGTAGTTGTATTGGGACTATTAATTAATTAATTAGGGTAAAGGAAGATTAGCATTTAACTAATTAATTAAACTAATGCCCAATCATTAATTTAAATCTATATCCTTTCTGATAATAAGCATCTAATCATTAACACACGTGGGCTTAAATTCTTTCATGCTCCACGTCAGACCATTAGAGTATGTTTTTTTTAGATTGGATAAAATTTTGATTTGAGTTTGATATTAAAATAATATTTGATGGGATGTTTTGTGAGAGAAAATAATGTATTTTTTTTGGGAAACACAGTCCAAATAGTAAAATTTGAAAAATTTTGGATAAAAAAAAGATCTTTGTATTTTATATTTTTACTTATAACCAAACTTTATTTTAAAAAAATAAAAATTACAAAATCACAGCAATCCAATTGTAAAATTAAAAATTGTAACGAGAGTTGGAAAAATACATACTGTGAAGTCCAAAGGCAAGCTTCAACCAAAATTGAATTTTGAACTTATATTGTATATTAAATTTTAAATATATATTGTTATTTATTAAATTAAATAGTTTACATAATTTGATTAACAACATTCCAGTCCCAAAGGATCAGCTCAAACTGATTCACATTCACATAGTTGAAGAACCAAAACTCAGACTCAACTTAATTAACAGCGAAAACGAAACCATGTTAGTTAAATTTTTTAAAAAAAGGATTTAATTAATGACCAAAATTATGCAATCTCGAAATTCAGATCAATCAGGCAAGAACAGCAAAGTAAAGGCTGCTTTGTTGTACCATTAAAGCCGGAATTTACCCGTGCTGGGAGATCGAGATCAGGCCTCTTCCGCAAGCTTAATCCGCTGCTGATGCTCGGCAACTTTGTAGTCGACAATCTCCAAGAATAGATTGGCGTCTAAAGTGCAGTCCGGGCGTCCATACACGGCTGCTTGAACGCTCGCCATCAGTTTCGCAATTTCACGCCCGGAGAATCCTTCAGTCTTGCGCGCAGCTTCCTGGATGACATCGTCGGACAAGTCTTTTATGGTTATTTTCTGTGGCTTGTTCTTGAACAGATTGGACCATTTTGTATCGCCATCACTGCCCCCTTCGCCACAGAGGTATTTTGACAAGTAGAGTTTCAGCAGCTTAAAGCGCTCGCCTTCCGGGGGGAGTGGGAATTCGATAACTTCATCAATACGGTCAGTTACAGCACTGTCGAGATCGCCAGGCCGGTTTGTAGCAAGAACGAGTACGATGTCTCTAGATTGGTCTCCAGTTCGGAAGAGCAGCGCATTTAGAGCACTTCGCTGAGCTTCACTCATGTGGGTGCTGTTTCGCCTATACAAATGGGAAATTATATGATGTTAAATCGAATCTAGGAGAAAGCATTATAATGATTTTCGAACGCAAAACATGTAAGTCATAGAATTTTTAATGGCTTCAAAATGTTATATTGGATGTCATCTATCTAGAGCAGAGATAGATAGAGCACCAATTCTTCTTAGAAATGCTTCTGATGTTAAATACCTCAGTTTCGATGATGATTAATTAAGTTTGTGCTGTTGCAGTAATAAACTACTTACTCGCATAGAAAAGCATCCGCCTCATCAATAAACAGGAGAAGGCCTTTTTTCGATTTTTTCGACCAATCAAATATTTCATGTATTTTTGTAACAGCTTGGGGTCCCAATGGCGCAACGTCTCCTCCTGTCATCATTGCATAATCCAAACCCTGAAAGGATAAAAATGAACCTATAGTTAAAAATTAAAAAAATGAAATGAGAAGGAGCAGATCGAAGCTAGCACGTATATGATCTCATCCAAAAGGACCTAGCTTTATAGCTCATTGACAGCTAAAATATTACTCCCTCTCATATCTCCTATCTATATTGTCGTTTCAATCCATACCATATTTCCTGCCTCATTTTCTAATCTATATTTTTTAAAATCTTAAATTAGATTACTGAGTTCTCGTAACTTTAATCTATAATTACTTGTTTGTAGTGTAATTACCTTTACTATTTAGTCTAATACATTTCTTAACTATTTACTAATTATCTCACTCATAAATCTTATATCTGCTGTAAACAAGACAGAATATCGGGGATGGAAGGAGTACTATTTTAAAATCAAGGAAGACCACAAAAATTAATCATTGAAGTACTCAGGTAGAATTCATACCGACTTTCTGGCTATTTCCCTGGCAACCATGGTTTTGCCAGTACCGGGAGGGCCATAAAAAAGCATGTTCCGAAATGGGGCCTGATGACTTTTGGTGTTTGATGTAGCACGTGCAAGATGCTCGATTCTTTTCTGCAGTGAGGGATGCAGGATAACATCCCCAAGAGGGGATTTACTTTTGGTGGATGCTGCTGCCCCAGCAGCAGTGCTATAATTAAGCACCTTACTGACTGCACGAGATCCTATACCAGACCACGGAAATTTTGCTATGGAAGACTCTCGTATCAGAGAAGGTTGGCCAAGAATTCTGTTAATGTATCCCCATGTAACTTTCGCACCTTCCCTGTTAGCGAAAAGTGGTTAGGTGCGACTTGTGAGGGATCATTTATCTAACCATGTGGAGACTTGTATAATAATAATAATAACAATATTAATAATAATTGCATATATCCGACATAAGAATTTTTTCAGAAAATAGATAATGCTCGCACAACAATTTCTGACAAAACATTCTATTTAGATTTGGATGAACACGGAGCAAAATGTTCATAGTAATGCAGTTATACAGTCTAATACAAAGAAAGAAAGAGCAGAAGACAAACCTGGTGGTATAAACTCCAGCAGCAAGTGCCGTAGCTCCTCCAACGGTCATCATCAATTTACTCCTGTCAGTCAATAGAATCCGAAAGCCATCTGCACTTGACAAATAATGCAATGACCTTATTTGTATCGATAAAGGCCTACTATGCACTCCAATTTCTAACTAAACTTATCAAAGCAACTGGAATTGGATAGCAAGGAGTGCAAATGGAGTGCTGCGGAAATGGAAGATCAAAGCTAAAGATGCCATCACTCGTACTATTACAGAATTGATGTGGTTGAAAGATCCTCTTGGAGAGCTAGGGTTTGACTACCATAAGCCTTTACAATACGCTGTGACTATGCTTAAATAACAATGATTGGAAATTTATTTCCGGTTATTGCACTTATTTAAAAGGAACCTTGTGACAGGGGAGAAGTAAGGAACAACCAACAATAGCTCAATTTAGTGCTAGTACAGAGTACAGAGCAATGGCTCATACTATCAGTCAATTGAAGGGAGTTAGGGTTCGACTACCATAAGCTAGGTAATAATCTATGTCGACGGACATGGTGGTGCCCCCACAAGATCGTGAGCATTAGCCAGAGTTTTATACTTGTCATCGTTGACGTATTTATTCTTCTGCTATATTTGATCTTTGGTAATCTCTATATCCAACTTAACCTTGACAAATGTATGAAATTCATTCCAATTATCATTTCTTCCCTTTAAGGCCACAAGATTTTCCAATATAATAACATTATCCTCATTGGTACATTGATTTGGTATACAATATGATTCGATATTTTTGATATACCGTACCGAATCATTCCTAGTTACACTTTGTAGGGATCTCAATTATGAATTTGATTGACATCATCTCAAGCTTCAAAAGATGATGGAGGTTTTGGATGATTATCTCAACATATTCTGAAAATAACCTCAACTACCTCTGTCATCATCGTACTTCCAAGTAAGGTAAGAAAATAAGTTAATTATAATGCAGCTTTACAATGATCCTAAGAAAACCCTTAACACCAAACATGCAACTGTTTCATGACAAAGAAATGAAATATGAAGATTATTAGGTAGGAGCATACCTTCAATATGACTGAATGTCGTGTTTATCGCAGCAAGCCATTTCTCCCGCTCACCATTTATTCGCTCTACAAGCATCCTCCTGTTATGGTCCTCTGTCAATTTTGCTTCATGAGCCCGTCCCTCAGCTTCAGCCATAGCCTTCACTCTTATTGTTTCACGTTCAATTTCTGCTCTCTCTTTCTCAGTCTGACGCTGCTGCGCTTGTATTTGTTCCTCAGTCCCTCGCCTTGCCTGTTCTTTTCTTATCGAAGACTCTTCTTGCATTTGAACCAATTCAACATTATGACGCCTCTGAGCTTCATGGTCTGTCTGAACTCATGTAAGATTATCAATTAAGATGTGCACTCAAACCTCTCAAAACTCAAACTTACATATATGGGCTAATTTATCCTACTTTTAAAACTGAAATCAGAGAGTGCGACAAGATTAATAAATGATCATAAATTGTGTACAACGCATAAAGGGATCAATGAAACAAAGTCTAACTAAAGAAACAGAGCACCCACACACCTGCATTCGTTTACGAGCCAGTTCATCTTCGTATCTTAACATTTGTGCCTTAGCTTGAGCCTGCTGCTGGTATAGATTCCTCTGATCTTCGGCCCACTTCTGCTGCTTTTCCTGTAGATACCAACCTTCATTTAGATTAAAGCAGACGAATCACTAACCTAAGCATAACAAAATTCGATAGAATTCTGGAACCATTATTTCTTTTAATTAAGAGGTGCGAAGGCAAGGAACAAATACAGCAACTATCACTTGATTACAACAATTCATTTTAATCATATCGAATCAAATTAAAGTGAACCACCACTCACAATATCTGCGTGCGCTTGAATGGCTTCATAGTTGGCCTTCTCAGCATCCAACTCTGCAAGCCGAGTCTGCTCTTGCTTCCTCATCACATCAAAAACCTTCGGGAAAAGAAGCATAAAAATCTCAACATATGACTGATTATCCCTTCGGGAAAATAATGGAAAATGCACAAATCGAAAAATCACCTGTTTCGAATGAGAGGAGCTATTAATTTCTCTGAGGGCCTTGGCGCCCCTCTCCAACGATTCTGGATCAAATCCACGTTTAGTAGAAACCTCAACGGCGGGTTGAGAATCAGAATCCGAAGCACCCGCAGAAGAAGCCTCGGACGAGGGAGCGGATGATGAGAACGGATTGAAACGGAAAGGCCCGTCCGCGTACGCGATGTTGGTGGCTGCAGAATAAGACACCGCCATGCCCGCCGCCGCCAAGGACGCTATCCTCGAACCCGCCATTTTCGAATTGAAGCAACACAGTTCAATAGATGGTTTGGACGACAAAGATGTTGAATTAGGCCGACACTAAAACAAGGAGAAAGGGAAAAAGGCTTAGATATACGCCGGTGCCGCCATGGACATGGTTGCTTAAACCCCTTTTGGTGCCCTAGGGTTTAAACGTTCAGTGGACTATTCTTCCAACGAGAGCCTAACAAGTACACACACGGTCAGGATAACTTGGTAATTTCGCACGGCCAGAAAAATGCCATTTTCAACGCCTTTTTTAATTCGTTTTTCTAAATAGAAATTTATGATTTACTATTAAGGCTCGATGGATTCTATGGATTTTTATTTTTTTTTAACGATTTTTAATAAATATTATTCCTCAGTCTCACGAAATATTGAGACGGAAATTTAATAAAAATTATAATTAATAAATAATTAAAAAATATATTAATAAAAATAATTAAATAATTTAATTAAAATAAAAAATTAAAAATTATGAAATAAAAAATTATGTTTTCAAATATATAATTAACAACTGTATATGTTGTTATGTATACTCTATGTATACATAAAAATATAGATAGTCCCGTAAGGGCGTAAGGATGACATGGTGGTGTACTCGTGACCGAGAGATTATGAATTTAAATTTTCGACGATGTCTTTAGGTCATTTATTACATATAATTTGCCTAATACCAGTAGCTATTCCCATTCATTTATGTAATCTGGAAACGGGACATTGCCAGACTCGATATGCTTGAGATCCTCGACGAGTATCTCATAGTGCCTCTTCACTTCCTCCACTGACTTCCCTCCAACTGCCTTTGCGACATTCTGCCAACGGTCCGGTGTGTCTTTATCGTACACAGCTAGGGCCTTCTCGAATTGCTTGTTTTGCTTTGACGTCCACAAGGCATTCGCTGCCATTGTGATATCTGCTACAGAAGTTTGAATTAAAGTTAAGAATCCGACTTCCCGGTGGCCTAAACGGCAGCAAAGCTAGCGCTCGCAAGAACGGAAAGTACGGGAGAATGCATTCGACTTATAGATAGTGATCAAGTATGGGACAGATGCTGCCCCTTTTAGCTATAAGTATATATATACATATATGTATAAGTAATGGGGCTATATATATGCCGATTGGAAAAATATAAATATATTGGGTTCAGTTACTCTACCAAGTGAATTGTATTGTTTATGTATCGACGATCAATCATCTTCTGCTATTTACATTTAAATTTTTAAGTATATTATTATTATTTTTTTGGTTTAAATATACATATGACGGAAGGTGATTGATCGGTACAATTCATTGGGGATAAGACAACTAAACCCATAAATGTATATATATATATACAAGAAAAATTGTAAATTTAACTATGTATTTATGTTTTTTTTCAATTGTGTTTTGACAATGTATCATACAAAATTTTTTTATTTTTTTTAAGATAGAATATTGTTTTTTCGCAAGGGATGCTACTAAAATAGAACTTAAAATATATGCCATAAAAAGTGATAGTTAAGTGTTGTACTTTTTTCTTAAATTAAAACTAAAACTTTGAAAATACTCGGATTGACCACGCTATACCAGATGTAGGCTCGCCGAACTTGTAACTAAATTCTCGTCTTTTGTGTTTATGTTTATCTTAATTTCATTACATTAACAATAAGGATAAGACTAAATTTGCAAAAGATAGAATGAAGAGCGAATCTTTGATGTTGAATAGGCATTTTGGTTATTTGCACAGATGTTTAAAAATATTAGTATTATATTGAGATATAGTAAGAATATTTGTAAGGTTACAGTTACTAAAAAAAATGAAAATTAATACTTTGTTATGGACAAACTAAAATGAAAAATAGATGCTTTTGTTATAGGACGAAGGAAATAGTACAAATTTAAATCCAAATGATATTTGATGTAATATAGATATAAATATGTACTTATGTGTTTTGAGTGATTAAATATTGTTTTTTTGTAATATATTAAATAAAAAATAAGTATTTAATTTAATAATTTTTTAAAAAAATAAATAAAATTGACAAACAGTACAAATCGAGATCCAAAGTTTAAAGAAACAGTGCCAAATTATCTGTCTTTGTTCCCAATCATGTCATTATGTAGAATAATCGAGAGGGAAGAAAAATAACAAGGCAAAAAGGAACAAAGAAGAATGGGCATCTGATCTGGATCAGCAGATCACATCCCACAGATTTTGGATAAAATCTGTATATTCTCTTACTGGAAAAATTAAAGATATTTATGAAGATAAACTGGTTCGATGCTTTTATGAAATAATTCCAAAAAGAATGAGACATATCTCATCTCCTAAATAATACATAATAAAGATCACTTAAGTTATGAACTTGCTGCGTTTGCCCCTCGTTTCCTTGTCTTTTTGGCTTTGGCTACTCCTGGCAAGACCGGACACGTCGGGAGTTTAAACCATAATCTTACGGTCACGAGTTCACTTTCACACCGCCAAAACTGTGGTCATTTGTGTTGTTTTAATTCGCCCTCGCGACTTCACACAAATTTCGTTGGCTCATCCTATATGGACAACACCATCTCAAGTGTCACTGCCTCCAATAGGATGGATAAAGGCAAAACTCCTCTTACGTATCCTAATAACATACCATTGGGGCGCCAGGGACGACAGGCCAGGCGGACAGATATACGATCCCATTCATATCCTCAACTACTACCCACTATGAGAATGGATCTTGAAGATGTGACACAAGTTCTGAGGGTTCATTTCAAGATGAACCCACAAATGGCAAATCGGCCATTATACCAGAGACCATTTCGAAGAGGATTATCAGCGAGCATTTTCTCCCGAGGAATTATCGACCTTTCGATTTCCACACATTCTCCCGCGAGGACGATACCTCAAGTATTGAGCACGTCGGGAGATTCACGGTTCAGTTGGGTGAAATTAGAAACAACCCGTGCTACAAGTTTCAGCTTTTCTACTTGTCGTTAACTAAAACAGTGTTACCTTAGTTTGCCAACCTACAACGTGAACAGATACAAACGTGGGAAGAGCTTAAAGCAACATTTCAAGTGCTGTTTTCTTAACCCCACCCCAACAGTTTCTCTGACAGACTTACTCAAGACGAGACAAATGCCAGAAGAAGGTGCTTTCCAATTTATCAAGCGGACTCGGCTCATGAAATGACGGTGCTGAACCATCATCGACAAAGGAGAAATGACCAATTTTACTAGTCCAAAATTTGCATGCTCCCCTAGGATAGGCCCATAATATTCACAACATTGAAAATTTGACTTGACTGGTTTCTAAGGGTGTGTTCGTTTAAAGGATTTGTCCCAAATTTTACTATTCTTTCAATTTTTTCTTCCTAAAAATATTAAATCAAACATTTATTTTTTATTTTTTATATTATATTAAAAATTAATTTTACATTCAAAACATCTCATCAACACCTATTTATATCACATCATACTTACAATTCAAAATTTTTACTATTCGAATCCCAACTCAAAATCCAATCCCTCAAACAAACACACCATAATATATTTAAATTTTATTTTATTAAAATATATATTACATTAAAACTCAACTTAAAATCAGACAAAATATCATTATTACATGATAAAACAAACCGATGAGAATAAAACCGAAGGTAATTTGTTTTTTGGTCTTTCACGTGACTTTTGATCATGTTGAGACCATAAATGAACACTGTAAATGATTAATCCAACAACTTTTTAAATTACGGCAAAATGAAGTGGGTATATTGGTTATAAATGCATAGGATTTCTTTAGATTCTAAAAATTGTAGATATTTAATCAGATTTTTATTTTTTTTTATTTTTATATTTTATATGATGCGAAAATCTGCAATTACTGTCTAAAGTGTGCACTAGGGTAAACCTCCAATCTAATTTAATACCCTACAAACTAAGTCCGACAAAGTAAGTCACATTAGACGAATCATTTGTAACAAGTGATCCAAAAGACGTCGAAAGTTTGAACCCATCACCCTACAACTGCGAGATCACCCCATATCGCATGACAATATTTCTTTGTCCCATTAGTTGAATTGAAGGGAGGGGATACTCAGTCCCTATTGCCTAGCCTCCTTCAAACCCTCAAATTAAAGTGATTATTTTATATATTATTTGTATGTATACGATGATATATAAATATAATAATATTTTAATTTTAAAATTGTAATAGTTTGATGTGATATTTGAATTTAAAATTAATTTTTAAAATAATAAAAAATAATATGTATTTAGTTTGATATTTTTTTATGAAAAATAAAAATTAAAAACCATTATATTTTGGGTGTGGAACTGAAACTCACAAATAAACACAACCATAAGTTTGCTAATTTAGTTAAACCCTTATAAATAAAATGATAAGATATTCTTCTATTGAGTGTTAGGTCGTGAATTTGATTTCGAATGGGTGTGTGTGTTTTTTGGATTGAAAAAATAATTATGTGATGTTTAGGGTTTATTTTGAATTTTTTATTTGAATTAGTATCTTCATGTAATATTGTATTAGATAAAATAATATACCTTTTTTGTCCCAAAAAATTCCATTTTCCATTTCTATTCATCTCGATTTAATTTTCTAATTTAGTAATTGTATTGTCTATCTAATATTTTAGCACAAATAGCTAATATATAAAATATTCTGAATTATCCTTTTATGTATAAATTGCTAAAAACAACAATTATTTTATTAAATATTTTAGCACAGATAGCTAATATATTTAGCTAGTCAGACTTACTGATCGAATCAACTAAGTTTATTGAATTAGCTAACAATTAATTGCCTAATATCCCCATTATGTTCTTTTTTTTTAAAAATTGATTATACACTTTAATTATATTTTAATATTTAAAAGTTAATTTTTTTAATCTTAATTAAATTATTTAGTTATTTTAATCTTAATTTATAATTATTTTAACTATATAATAATTATTTTTACTAATATATTTTTTAATTATTTACTAAGTATACTTTACCTAAATTCTCGTATTTATAAGAATATTGCGATTTGTTAGACGGAGGGAGTATTGCATAAGGTTTGGCTCAATGATATGTCATTCTAGTTTATTCTCCATTGTTTAGATATTTTTTATACAGTCAGGTTGCATGTGTGTTCTTATAAAATATTACACCAAAGTATTATTTTAAATCAAATTATAAGAAACTGGCCGAGTATTATAAGAATGATCATCTTCTTTTTTCTTTTTACTTTTATTATTAGGTGTATGAATTATATATTTTATTTTTGAATAATATTTTGAAGAATCTTGTAACCTTAAAACACTAATTAAGGGTGTGTTTGGTTAGGGGCTTTGGAATTTGAGTTTATATTTTGAATAGTAAAAATTTGAATTTAAATAGTTATATGATGTCATATCAATTAATGTTGATGTTATATTTTGAATATAAAATTAATTTTTTTTAATATAATATAAAAATAGAAAATAAATATTTGATTTGATATTTTTATAATTTTTAATAAAAAATATTGTGAATATTTATAATGTTTGGGTAAAGTAGTTTTTATTGTTTTTTAGGTGAAATATTTGTTTGAAGTTGCTTGATGTAATATTTTATTTAAAAATAATGTATTTTTATTAGAAAGTATCGATAAAATTTATTATTATTATTATTATTATTATTATTATTATTATTATTATTATTATTATTATTATTATTATTATTGTTATTATTATCTGGAATGGGGTAAACTTAAAGAGTATACATCTGAATCCCCTAGTATACTCGACTCTTATGAATAAAAATGTTTTGGTCCAATTCACCCATAGAACTAATAACAAATAAAAGCTTCAAATCTCAAACACCACAACACACTATTTATTACATGTTCTTTCTCACTTTATTCTCACTGATTAATTTAACTTTATTAGGCCATGTTTAATTCTAATGACAAAATAACTTCTGTGTTATACATTATAACAACAAATATTGTTTTATCATTAGAACTAAACATAAGCTTATTGCACTGTTTACAGCACAGTGAATTTCTTCCAAGACCTAGGCTTCAAGGAAGCTCCTCATCACTCGGAAATGGAGCAGGAGCCGGTGCCGGTGTAGTTGGAGGAGGCACGT